AAATTAGATCCAGAGATATGTGATCTTACTTCAGAAAATGAAAGTGTTCAAAATTCATTAGATTTTTCTGAATCTAACGATGATAGTGAAGAGGACATATACTATACGAAAGGAGTAGATAATTCTGAAAAAGACTTCGAATACGAATTTCATTATGGTATTTTTATAAAATTAGATGGAAAATTTTAACCAACTAAATGGTATAAAATCACTATATCCGAAGTAGATGAATTTCGTGCTGAAATTCATAACAATGTAATCACATTAACAAAGAATGAATTAATTGAAGCATGTGATTATAATGTAACATTTAAAGGCGAAAAGGCTGCAGAGGCTGGAACTCAGTTAGTAGATGATCAAGATTTTCAAAAATTTCGGTCTGAATATCATAAACTTTCTGCACGAAAGTTAATATAGGGATATTTATAACAATTAATTCACAAGATTCAAATAAAAATAAGCACAAAAAAAAGGTATATTCATTTAAAATTTTATGGATTAACTCAAATGACCATCTAAAGTGTGGGTCTTATAATAATTCATGATTACTAATTAACTTATTAATAATCATGTATAAATCTTATCATATAATCCACACCCTTGATAGTCGCCCTGGTGAATTTATATCTACTTTAAATAAAAACTAATAAGATTTTATTTTAGAATACCGATTCTGAAATAGAAACTGATATGTTAGAGGACGATTGTTTAGAAACTCCAAAAAACAAAAATCAAGTTCCCAAAGTATCCAATCTTACTGTAGAAGAAACTCAAATAGCTGAGAGTGTTTTAAAAATTCGTACTGCCAATTATTGTAATATACATAACCGGGCATGCTTAAATGTGGATAAAAGTAAGGAGTACTATATTGAAATTACTTTTATGATGTTATCTACTTGGGCGTCAGAAATAGTAGGTATATTTTTTATTATATGTTTTTAAGTAAAATTTCTATAATCTGATTTATTTTTATTTTATTATAGAACAAAGGGTTGGCTACACCCACAGAACCACCAACACATCCATTATTCGCATATAATTATTTGTCTAAAAAGAGACCAAGTTTACAACTTTCTAATTCAGATAGATTATTATCTCAATCTTCAAGTTCTTGCCTATTTCCAAATTCATATATTCCAACACCATTTTATAATCCGTTGCAAATGGTTCCAACTTTCACTTCTTCCTATTCAGATTTAGAGCCAACACCATATACCACAAGATTATCTATACCTACTATTGGTGAATTCTTAAAATCAATTGATGAAAATGAAAATACTGATGATTATTATCAAAGTTTTCTATTGAAATTTGAGCAACAGCGAATTTCAGTACGAATACTTTCAAAATTATCAAATGAAGAATTTGAAAAATGTGGTGTAGACACTATTGGAGCACGACAAACACTTTGTTACTATGCAGCCAAATATAATATTTAATAATATAATTACATATTATGTAGAAATAATATATCTCTAATGTAATTTAATTTTTTATTTGTAACCTGATCCATTAAAAAAACTATTAGCAAGCAAGGGTGTAATTTGTGAGCAAGCAATTAATAAAGGATAAATAGGATTAGAACAACTCTCTACAAAATAATGATAACGTTTTAAATAGCTTTTAATAAATGAAAAGGCCATTTCGATTGGATTAAGATTCGGCAAGTATGGCGGAAGAAATTCTACATGTACACCAAACGCATTTAAGTATTCAAGCAATCCATCATGGTAATGAATTCTTGCATTGTCGAGAACCAAAACACTTCTTGCATGCGGATATGAATTCATTTGAGGGAGCTATATAAATAAAAATAATTGAATTATTGTTAAGATAATTTATATAATTTACCAATTATTAAATACATATATACTACTTGTGAAATAACAAAGTTTTTAAATTTTTCTTTTGTACAACTACCCTCTATAATGTCTACAGCAATAATACCATCTAAAGTAAGAGCTAGTAAAATTGTATAATGTTTACTACGAACAAATGCTACTCTTTTTACAGCTCTTGTATTTACTTCAGAATAACCATAACCATGAGTAATTGTTCATTCATCTTTAGCTGACTCATCTAAAAAAATCAGCTGTTTACATTGATATTGAGTTCCAATATGTGCCATAAAAGTACTACGAAGCAATTCATTACGTTCTCTTGCAATTTTGCTTAACTACCATAAAAATTTAATAAATATGCATTATAAAT